TTATCTATCTTTTTCTTACTTCATCTTTTCTTCCCTTTTTTCATCCTTATCTTCATCCTCATCTTCATCATCTTCCTCTTTGTTTCCCTCATTTATTCATTTCCATCTTCCTCATCATCTTCTTCATCATAATCGTCATCTAATGTAATAGTAATATTACAGACGTTAGACTATCAATGAACAAATCCAAAGTAACATGATCAATAGATGCTGATCTCAGCTTAGTTTCAGTCTTCTCATTGAAGATGGAAACAAGATGAGTAAAGATAAAGCAAATATTACATTCAACATTTCATCGACAATTTTCATCTCCAAAAAGTGAACGAAAATTTTAAATGTCAAATTGATCGTAAATTAATTGTTAATGTTGGTGAATTGACATCGCTTTACAACGAACGTTGAATCGTCAACCTGGATAGAAAAGAATCAGGATAATTTCTAGGATTTAGTTTGATCCAAGAAATATTCGACTTACCACTTATTCTTATTTTGATTCATTTTATTTCGAGTTACTTGAAAATTCTGATCAATGAACGTTCTAGTTTCATGCTTTCCCATTTCAAGACTATTCATTTGATTGAGTTGAAGAATATTATAATGATGAAGACTCGAAGAAATGAGATTTTTCGACTTTTGAAATTCGAAGCAATCATAAAGAACAAGATTAAACCAATCGATTTCAAAAGCGACGCGCGTAAATCTTATAGCTTAATGGTCGGTTCCGTTTTCTGACGCTAGTAATTGTGTCTAAAAAGTGTTAGATCGTAAATGTTCGCTATCCATTTTTATTGATGAAAAATTAGTTTCATCTCTTTAACTCATAATATCACTTGAAGGTTTAACCGAAAATCGAAGTTTTGTGCAAAAACAGAAGATTTAGTTTCTCAAAATAAGTGCATTTTCTGATTGGCCTTCAAAGTTGCATTAATTGTTGAAAATTCTGGTTACACAAAAGGCAATCGAAGTTACAAGTTTGACCTCGAGTTCGAAAACTGTCGATCTTAGAATTTTTCGATTGCACAAATGAACTCAACTTTTATGTCTTTACAAATCCACAAAATTTGAGCTCTTGACTTGAAAGAAAATTTTGTGTTTCTTTTTCGGGAAGGAAAGTCGAAATGCTGGCGAATGGTTCAACAGCAACTTACTTTGATCGTCTTTTGTTTCGTTCCAATGGATTCTACTTATGACTTGAAGTCACTTCTTTTTACAGTGAAGTTCATTCTCGGCATTACCATTTACCAAGGCTAACCGTAAATTTGTTACAAAAACTTTGAATTTCATTATTAGATGAAGAAACTAGAAAGGCATCAATATGTAAACGTAAACCTCAAAACTCATAATATTAATTATCATCCGATTCTGTTTAAACGTCAATCTCTTGTTATTTTTATTTCGCTCTTTGATTGATTGAATAGTCTAAATCATTGATACATGATTATAATTTCATGTTTCATGCCAATTCATTGATGAGTGGAAAAATGAACAAAATGAATGATAAAAAGCAAAACAAAACAAGACTGAAATAGTCAATTACAAATTGTACTTAAAACAATATCTTCAAAATAGTCTTAAAAAGAGCATCCGAATTGAATCGATTAAAATTTAACGACTTTATCACGAAAGTCCGAAAATCATTACATAAAAGTGATTCAAAATCAAAGCGAACTCTTGAAACGCAAGAAATTACAAGATTTGAATATTCCAATGTGAATGTTCAAAACTTTGTCAAACTTGTTCAGTTGAAGAACCTTTTTGTGGTCAATCCATGAAAAGGTGAAAAAGATTTCAATTGATCTTGTTTTACAAATTATTGGATTGTAAATTGATTCAGTTTCGACTGATGATGAGTATTGGAAATTTATGCTCAATCACAGTTCTCATTGTGTGTTCAAACCACAGATTAGTGAGAGTAATTTACCCTGATTTGAGGTGAACAACAAAAGGTATACAAAGCAGAGTGAGTAAATGATTTGGGAATAGATGAAACAAGAAGAGAGAAAAAAGGTGAAACGAAATTAAAATCATTATTCACTTATTCATTGTTATATCGTTGATTAACTTGATTCATTTGGTGGTTGAATAAGTTATTAATAAACTGGTTACAAGCAACATCAAGTGAACCATTTGATTCAACCTTGTTTAACAATGTGTAACATCATCTTGATTAGTCTATCATTTGAAACAATTTTCATTACAAATTCAACGTTTCATGTTTTGTATCAAATATGAACTTTCAGGTTATCGAAAACAATGATCAGAAAGGGAAAGACAGGAAAACAAATTTTCGAGTCTCTAAACTTTTCTAAAAAATAACTCGATTTTTTCGGGAAAAGCAAATGCTTTCCGAGTCTTTCACTTTTGACTGATGAGTTTTGAACAATCAAAGATTGAAGTGAAGCGAAAAAGTGACGAAAAAGAAGAGAACGAAATAGCGAATGTTTTCTGTCAGTTCGATCTTTGCACAGTCTTGACTGCAATCGAAGGTTAATCTTGGCTGTTCAACTAGACTCAACTTGTGAGGTTATTCAAGAGTCAGTCTTGAAGACTTCAAAGCTCAAAATGATTCTCGTTTTTTGAGCAAATTTTTGGTTATTTTAAGCGGTCGACTTTTGTCTCTTATAACAACAAAATGGCATTTATGATGAGACTTATGAACATTGACTTGTGCTGTTTGAGATGCTTAAAGTGATTTATTTCGCGAATGATGATTATGAGCTTAGGAATTAGGAAAATGAAACGAGCACATCAACAGTTTCATTGTAAGTAAAATGGCCGGGAAAAATTGACTCAAAATAATTTAAATTCTTGATGTAATATTGCATTTAATGTTCAACTTGCGAAAAAAACGTTTCTTTTTTTGTCTTCATCTCAATCTTTTAATTTCATTTCATTTTCATCTTTTCTCCTCTTCTCATCATCATGTCTTGTCATTTGATTCAAATTGTGGCCTAAAGTGAACTTGATGATATCCTTAAGCAACTGCAATCTCAACCAAAAGACAAAAAGTTACCTTATTTTTTGTGTCAACCTTTTTCTCTCCTTTTCATCATCAGTTCGAGACAAGTCTGATTGAGTGAAATCCTTTTTACTGGAGCAATGAGACGCATAAAAATATTTGGATGGCAGACAAGCTTGTAAATCCTCTCGATTTCATGATTTACTGAACAACTTTCCTTCTTCTTCTGTAAATCACAATCCAAGTTAATCGTTGCTCCTCTAATTAGCATAATTATTGTCATTTCGCAAACTCTATCAATACAGACAACAACAGGAAACAAACAACAGCTTTTTACTCTTCGCCTTTTGGGTGCAATTCAGAAAAGAGTTCAATAATAACTTGTCACTTGGAAAGATCATCAATGGCTTATGCTCAACAAACTAAACATAATTCATTTTATATTTTATTTTCAAGTGAAAAAATAAAAACTCATAAACCCATCAAAAAAGATTAATAATTAACTGATTGCTAACCTCAAATCTCGCGAGGTGTTTAGCCAATAAATAACATTAGTTAGCAAATTATACAAATGTTTGCAAGTAAAGTAAAGGCAACTCGAAAATTATTAAAGTAAATCCTTGACAAACTCGCTTTAATCAAACTTGTCTAAACATTATTTTTCAATATTTCATCGAAGTTATTATTGATTATTAAGACAACTTATTATATTTCCAAAGTCAATCCGATTCAATAAACATTTCAAAATCCATGTTGGCTTCAAAAACATTCAAGTCGCTTTATCAACCAACGAAAGCCAATCGGGTTATTTTGCATCAATTTAAATGCAGTAAAGCTCATTTGTTTGAGACAGTGAAAGCGATTGAATGAGACTCTTTTGTTTGTTTAAAAATCATAAAACTCTTTGTTTACTGAGAAATTTCTGAGACATTGAGAGCGAATGAAGAAGATTGAGGAAAGGAATGAGACAGTTGTAAATCATGATTCAGTTCTCAATTATTTAACTATTTTCAAAGTCGACTAAGTTTCAGTCGAGGTTCTACCTTTACAAAGAGCATCGATAATTAATTTTCCAACTTCAACATTGATTTTAAAGACAAAAGCTCAAAACATTAAATAAGATGAACTAAAATGACAAAAAACTAAAGTTGATCAGTAAACATGGCAAGACTTTGAAGAGACTTTTAGTGTCAAGTTTCCTTTTCTCGAGCCAACTCGACGATTAATGAACATCTTCAGGTTATTTTGCATGATTATTGCAACAACTCGATCTAATTGTACTTTCATTTCATTCTGCAAAAGCAGACCAAAGAAATATTGCAAATGTCCAAAACTTTGCATAAAACTTTGAATCAGTCGAAATTCACTTTCACTCACCAATATTCATCATTTCGTGAATATTTTAAACTAATTAAAATTGAAAATTGGAAAGTTTTCTCACCTTAATCAGGTCCAGGTCAATAAAACGAAGTAAAGCTAGGAAAGGAGGACTTTGAAGAGAAAGAAGAAGAAGAAGAAGAAGAAAGGAAGACGAAGATACTCTTCTTATAGGTTCAACAGTAACAATGAACAAGTTTCAATAGGCTTAAAGTTTATTCCTTTAAGTATATAATAATAATAAGATGAACGAAACTTGAGCCTATTTATGTTTACGTCAAGTTTTCCTTGTTAACTTGTTACGATTTCACCGTTTCTTTGTACCGTTATTTTGCGCTCAACTTTGATCTTTTGGTGCAACTTTCCGTTTCAATAAAATATCACTTTGAGTTTAACGTATTAACGCTGTTTTTTTATAATTATATTTTTGCTCATTTTTGGTTCATTTTTTTATCGTTTTTTACAATTAAATTTACATTAATTTTTTAATAACAATTTTGTATTCGTTTTGTTATCGTTAAGATAGTTTCAAGGTGAATATAATCAAATGTTTGCCATTGAATTGGTGTGTTTCAGCCTGTGTTCAATTGCCAGTTAACGATTAACATGATGAACGTATAATGTTGAGATGAAGGAAAAGAAAAGAATCTTTTTTTGTTTAAATTTTCAATTTTTTCTCTCTTTTCCTTTCATCAATCGAATGTTTAACTTTGATAAAGTTTCATTGGAGATCAGTGAAGATCATGTGAATCTTGTGTTTGATGAAGGAAGTTTTTTGTCGGTGAATAGATGAAGTTCCCAGAAGAAGACGAAGAAGAAACAAAAACAAAATAAACAGTAGTAATAATAATTGTAATAACTTATTGAAATATTGAAAACAGAGAAGAAAAACAAAGAAAAAAATCTCGAGAAAAATTGAATTTCTTTTTTTTTGATTTTTGTTGCTTCAAGATTTGATGTTTAACGATCAATGTTACCTTCTGTTGGCCTAATAGGGTCGACCCAACTAGGACGAGACTAAAGGATGCACTTGGGAATGTAATATTCCGGTGAACTTGGATTACTGCTTGAACCAATTGAAGACATTGAATCACCTGGATGGTGTTGATGGTGACTGTGATGGGGATGATGATGATGATATTGTTGGTGTTGTTGGGGATGATGGTGTTGCTGTTGTTGCTGTTGGTGTTGGTGTTGGTGTTGATCTTGACTCGATTTTAGCTCTTGACTAGAAGCGTTGTACTTAATCTCTTGACTAGTTACATTGGTACCATTGGTGTTGCCGTTGGCATTGTTGTTGGTATTGTTTGTGTTGTTGGTTGTGTTTGTATTGCTGGGATTGTTGTTGTTGTTGGAAGATGAAAAGGAAAGGGTCGACGTTTGGCCAGTTGAACGGCACAAAAGGTGATATTGTTCTCTAAAATAGTCCCGTTCGTGGATCAATGAGGCCAGTTGACTTTTAATTTCCAATATTTCATGTCGATATCGAGCATTCTCTTGTTCGAAACGGCGATTTTGTACTTCCAAGTCTTGCTTATGGCGCAACCTTTTGGTTCGACAGTTTTGAGCATAACCTCGATTCTTGAGGGTCCGTCGTTTCTGTTTTAACCGTTGAATGTCTTCCCGTGAATATCCATGTAAACGCTTGTTCAACTCACGAACTGATAAACGAATCAGTTGATCATCATTCAAGTTCAACTCGGGTGAACCATCATTGGTTGACCCATTGGACATACCAGGGGACGGTCCAGGGTAAAGTGAGATGGCATGAGAATTGGGATTATGATGTACATTACGATCACTAGATGCATTGCCATTGGTGAGGCCGTGGTGAACGGAAGGTTGTGTGTAATGTCCGGATCCAGGAAGAGTGTTAAAGACACTGTTGGTCGATACAAAAGACGAATGATGGTTAGGATGATGGTGTGGGTGATGAGTGTGAATATGGTGAGGTGTTAGATGAGGGTGAGGGTGGTGATGATGGTGAGGGTGTTGAGGATGGTTATTGCCGTTGGTATTGCTGTTGTTGGTTGGACTAGAGTTGTTGTTGTTGTTGTTGGTGTTGTTGGGACTATTGTTGTTGGTGTTTGTGTTGTTGCTGTTGTTGTTGTTATTGGTGTTGTTGTTGAGATTATTGGCACTGAGGTTGATTACATGATGAGGATGAACTGGATGATGGAGTAAAGGTGGAGCTAGGGAAGGTTGTACTTGATGGTTAGCACCGTTGACTGGACCAGCACCACTGGCTAGTGTTGATCCTGAACCAAATTCCATTTGATGTTCAAACAAATCTGAAACGTAATCCTCAGATGACATTGCACCTTGATCTGAGTCCATGATTTGAGTTGACACGACAACTGTGCTAAATCAAGTTTGACTTGACTTATAACTGCTGTTGTCGCTGATGGTGATGACGATAAGAGGAGCAAATGATAAGAAGAAGATGAAGAGAAGAGATAATGAGAAAAGAACACACTAGAAACAGAATTTACAGAATCAAGTGTCTATAGGTTGAAACTTGAAATTCATTGCACAATTGGCGAACAGGGAAAAATAATATTTTCAGTTGAAAACGAAAAAGTTTTTCATTTATTTATTGCTATTATTTATTGAATGGCATTTGTGAGTTTTTTGTTTATTACCAAAGCTAAAGTTGGTCTGAACATGAAAAGGATAAAATAAGTTTAACTATGTAAAGGGAGAGTCGAAGGAGAGTGAGAGAGATGATGAAAGGAGGGAGTTGAGAGTAGGAGGAGGAGATAAGTGTGAGTGAAGATAAAAAGAGAAGATAAAAGACAGAGGAAGACAGAGGGATGAGAGAAAGAAAGAGAAGGGGCCAAATGGAAGAGTAAATGTTGAGGATAAGAAGAGGGAGGAAAAAGTGCGACAGGTGATTCGAAAGGAAATGTTCATAAGGGGAAAGAAAAGTTTTAATTGTTGATTTCAAGATAATCATGATCATCATGATCATCATGATGAGCAAAAAGCAAAAATTGGCAACTTGGATTTTTTTTCTTTCTCTCTTCTTCTGTCTATCATCGCCATTTGCATTCAGTTCAACTTCGTTATTTTTGGTGGATTCAAAGGATTTTATTTCGTTATTCATTTTGCCTTTCAAGTGCTTTCACTTATCAATTTGTTTCTGATAATCAGTTATGAATACTTTTAATTGTTGCAATGTGCGGTCAATCAGTTTCAATTGAACCTTGAATTTTTATCACAACTTTAGTCATGTTTGAGTCAATTTTGAAGAGCATTTGTTTACTTTGTTTCACTTGATCCTTATCATGATACTTGAATTGAAATTCAGTATTAAGTCTTCAAGCCGTTTCTTTTATGCAAGTTTCTTTGACTTTTTTGGACATTCAATTGAAATGAACATTGAATTTATCGAGGTTTTTTAAGAAAATCATTTTGGATGAAAAACTCTTTTTTCACTGAAATTATTTTCTCTCTCCCTGGAAAACTGTTGATTAATATGATTTAACCGATTCCTTTTTTTCTACTTTCCTTTTCTGCTTCACTTTTTCGGGTTAAAATCTATTTTCCCTGTCAGGTCAATTCTCATGATTCATGATGATTCATGTTCTCATTTAAGTATTACACATATAAATCTTTGCATGTTTGCCATGTTGAATAGTTGAGGTTCAAAAAGGAAAAGTAAATTTTCAAGAAATATAAATGTTCAATTTTCTCGACTTTTTTTACCTTCTCTTTTTCAATATCATGAATGGGCTTGAAGAAAGAGAAGCAATTTGATTGCAACATTTTCATGATGATTAATGAATAATGATTTCATGCGATTTCTTACCTCGTTGTGGTGACAACAATTTTCAAATCAAATGTCATGAATCAAATGCAAAACCCAAAGTTGAAAAAATGCTTCAAATTGTTAATCAATTTCAATTGAATGTTGCTCAAGTTTTCAAACATCGATAACAATATCGTCATGAGTCCACATTACTTCATCAGCACAGATCAAGAACTTTGTCGAAGTCTGTTAACATGAAAATTTTTCGAATAAAATCTTATTCTTTTTTTTGCAAACATTTCTTATCAAATAATCTGCTAATGCCATGAGTTGCATTTCAATCCCTGAACAAAAGTCCATTAATATTTTGTTAACAGTTTTAAATGGTTCATTATCAATGGGAAAAGCGGCGATGGCTGTTCGAAGAGAGGAAAAGGAGAAAAGGCAAAAATCCAGTTTTTCCATGTTCACTCACTTTCCATTGTATTACATATAATTTAAAGGTCACGTTATCATTTATCATACACAAGCCTTAAGGACAATTCAATGTTTTGTTGCCCAAAAAAAGGTCGATGTTAAAGTTCGAGTTGAAGACTTGTTTTTTTGGCAATATTATTATTTGGCTTATGAAAGCCTTTATTGGCTTGTTATTGGGATCTCACGTTAACCTCAACTCAATTAACATTTATTATTATTTGAGTGAAGAACGAAAAAATCAAATTTCAATTTCATTCTTCAACATTTTTCAACTACAATTGATTCAAATTGGCACATTTATTCATCATTGAAAGTCCATTATCCTGTGACCTTTACAATGTTGCGACAAATGATTGACTCTGGACATTGGTATAGGTTCAGAGTATTCCCATGTTGATCGGTTAATTTACTTGTTGGTGATGATGGGAATGATGATGAGGATGATAATAAGACAATATGATAATAGTTATGAAGATAATGGTTTAGGGAATAAAAGGATGCTTCATGAACCATTTAATGATACACTTTTTTTGACTCTTTTTATATGTTCAATGATCCTCAACAGGCAAAACTCATCAATCAATTGACATAAATCTTTTTCATGTTAACAATTTTTTTATGCTTCCATCATGCTTCTTGCTATTCATTTTCATCTTAATTCGCTTCCATGTTAATCATATTTATCAACAATTTAGATTCTCTCTCTTTTATACTTTCACTCTTTTTCCTCTCTTTTCATCATTTTTCATCTTCATCGTCTTGTATATTGTTCACTTGGAACTTGTTGGAACATCAATCAACACTGAGGCTCATAATTGACTTGTGATTAACTGCTGAGGTTGACACTAATTTTCAATGCTAAAAGGCGCTAATTATCATAACCAGTGGAAACAAAAGAATGAGAAATCTTTAGATGCAATAAATTATTCAATTACTTGTGCTCATTGAATGTTTATCAAGATCAATTCAACTTTAACCCCCAATTCAATTTATTAATGCCTTGTAAAGGTAATGAAACTTTGAAATGAACTTTGTATCATAAAATGTTTCATAGACCAAGGAAAAGACATCCAAGCCTAACCTAACCCAACCTAACCTAACTTAATATCAATGCAAAGTAACCGATGACAAAATTTAAGCTCGGAATGAGGAAATCGGTCAAACTTCTAGTAAATCATTGAATGTCTCATCAGGACAATGCAAATTGCAAACAAAAAAAATTTATTTTGAGTCGAGAGTTGCAACTCTGTGGGTTTCTGTAGAACAGATCACTTCGATTTTCGATTAAACCTTGCGCTTCAAATAACCGTAAGAATTAGAGAGCCAAGACTCATTTTCATCGATAAAAATCTTCTCCCATAGTTGAACAAAAGGCGATCGAAGTTACAACTTTGAACTCGATTTTCTCGAAAACTTTTAACGGAAATTTTTTTAACACTAATAGACTCACAAAGTCTCAAATCTTAATTAGACAAGGAAAGCCTTCTGTAATTAATCTTTTGATCCAGCCTAACTTAACCAACTCGATATCAATACAATCACGTAGTAAAGCAAATTAACCCAATGACAGACCTTAAGCTTGAAATGAGCGAACTGGCCTGAACGAGCCTAAATCAAAAGTTTAAATCTAATCTTCCGTCGACCAATTGAGAGTTAAACATTTTTTAAAACTTTATCAGTTCAACTTGAGAAGCAACTCTAGTCATTAACATGATCAGTTCAAGTCTTTGTCACAATTGTAAAGGGAAATGTTTTTTGAAACTTTGAGTAAACCTTTTAAACCTGAATTTGTACATTAACCTTTTACATTAATGACTGGCAAATGATGCTGTTAGATTGAAAGATTGGGATAAAAATATGTTCAAATATAATTTGGTTAAATAAATTAGAAAATGAATCTTTATTCCATCTTGGATTCTAAATTGTTGAAACATTCCATGAATTCTCAAAGCGATTTTAGTCTCATTGTTTCTCGCCATTTGTATCTTACAACTTACTCTTTTCTGTGTTTTTTCCTCTCTTCACTGACTGAAAGATGAGAATGATGAGGAGATGAAGATGAAGGGTAAGATGGAGCAAGTAAAACATTTATTGTAACCACAAACAGCCATAAGTTTCTTTAATTAGAAACACAACCAAGACTATTAAGGTTTACCGTTGAACAATATAAATCTGAAGCCGAGAACTGGAAAAGAAGAAAAAATTGCAACAGAAAAATAATTTGTTCAGATGGAAACAAATGAACTGAATGTGAGATAATCAAGATTAAATGAACGCCTTGAGAGACTCAATGAACAGCAATAACCTTACAGTCAACCAAAGGCTCATGTTAATTTATTTATCAGTGATTATCGTTAAGAAAATTTTCTCGAAATAAAATATTTCTCTTTCATTAGCATCATTAATGACGATCATTATCATTATCATTATTTAAGTTCATCTAAATTAATTGACTTTCCGTTTATTCTGTAGACTGAGTTTACAATGAACAGTGAACAAAATAATGAAAAAGTGTTTAATCAAGTTAATTATCCAATCATTGTTAACATTGTTAACACAAGATTCACTGTTAATTGACTCAACTAATTATCATTTTGCTCTTTAATTAACCTTTGCGTCTTTTTTTCAAAAATATTGTTTCGAGTTGCAATGAATTTTCAGATGAATCCATTTTACCATGCAATGCTTTTATCATCATCTTCTTCAGTTTACCATTTTTTACCATTTAATGCAAAAGAGGTTCAAGTGATTACTATTAATCTGATTGTAATCGATTTAAGAAAAATTATGATCCATCCAATTTAACATGAGCTTCATTTTCACTCATCATCATGATAACATCTTTTTTTGTTCACAGTAATATATGGCTGCTCTGGTTAGACGATTAAACTTCATCTTGTTCATCTTCTTGAAAGACGATGAAAACAGAGGATGATAATGATAATGAGGATAAGAAGAAGAAGAAGAAGAGGAAAAGAGGTAAAAATAAAGGTAACAAAGTGCTGACTCGGTGAATGAATATAACTCATATTTATCTTCTTTGTCTTCCTTCTGTCTTCATCTTCTCTCTGTGTGATCAAGTGAAACCTCATAATAGCCTGAGGTCAAAATGGTATTAAAAGTTGCTCTACTTGAGCATAAAAGCTTCTTTTACATTACAATAGATTCATCGGTTGATCATCATCCGTTCATCATCATCCCTCATCACACCAACCATCAACATCATCTTTTGTGGAAACCTTAATCATTTGTTAATACCAATTGTGAATCCACTTAACAGTTTATTAATATTATGAATCTCAATATCTTTCAATGAGCACAATTTCATTCTTGCATCGACTTTTTGCTTCGATTTAAAACTTTTCCTTCTTCTCTTCAATTCTGTTGAATGTGGTTTTGCATTTCAATTTTGTTAAACTGTTTTCTGCAACAAT